GCTGGCAGAGGGGATGGGGTGCCATTCTAGCACCGGAGGAGTGGGGGAGGGGGAGAAGGGGCCGGTGGGCATTGCGGCCAGGCTGCCTGGCTCCTGGCAAGGGTGGGAGCCGGCTTTCCTCCCTCCCGCACAATGCACTGGTGAATGCAGAACTCTTGTGTTTTTTATTATTAATAATAATTGCTAGTAATATATACCCAGCTTATTTAAAGTGTTCAATAAAATCTGAATGTCTTAGCGACTCAGGCCACTGCTTCTGTCTCTTGGATGCGTGTCAGATGCAGAGGGGACCCCGGCCCCAAAAGGTTGCGTGGTCTTACCTGGGGCTTCTAGGGAGCCCCCTGGGGGGTCACAAGCCAGCCTGGCTCAGCCTGACATCTCAGTGCCCCCAAAGTGGCCATCTCGGTTGAAATGGCTTCGGTCAAATTCCTATTTATTATTTAGCTTCTTTGGGTTCATGCTCTTGAGTGTGTGTTTGTGGTGGTACACAAGAAAGCAAAGAGAAGGCAAGCTGTGTCTCTTTATTGGTACAAAGTGGGTTCAGCCAGCGGACAAGGCAGAGGAGTGACATGTGCCACCTCCAAAAAGCCTGCCTTTAACATTTAACACTTTCACTCTTCAAGCAAGCTAATTCACGTAGCAATTAATCAACTATATATGGCACACACGACCCCATAATAAACTGAGAGCGTCTTTGCCTGGCTGAACATGACTTCCTCTGCTCTTGCCTGGCTGCAGTGTTACATCAGGGCTATTTTGCTTAATCTTCGCGCGCGCACGTGTGTGTAACTATTTAAAGTCCTGATGACTTGTCTCGCAAAACGTCAGTCCGCTGCAAGTGCCAGAGCTGCTTTTGCTTTTGAAAGGCGCCATCACATCGTACAATCCTAAAGGTCATCGCTCTACTTACTAATTAGCAAAAAAAAAGCCCAACCGCCACCACAGGCGCCAGCCAGTTCAGGCACAGCATCTTCCTTGGGCGCCGAGGCTTTGCGGAGGCAGTTGCTTGCTGGGTTGCCTGAAAGCCGTGGCCAAGCTGCTCCTGGGATGGGACCGGGCAGAAAGTCCTCGCTGTTGGGAGGGGACCTGGCCAGGAGCAGGGCTGTGCCGTCCCCCGATCCCACGTCCTTGTGTCCTGGCAGCGCAGCTCACTCTGTGCTGGGGATGTTGCATGGCTGAAGGGTTTGCTCCGCTCTGTGGCCGGGTCCGGTCTCCCCATCACACACCAGTCCCTGTGCTCAGGAAGACCCAGTGTACCCTGTGCAGGTGTGGGGCCCGTACTGCTCTGTTGAAGCACGTCGGCTCAGGGGGAAAAACGGCCACTGCCACCACCTCCCCCAGCCTGCATGATGCCCTAGCATCACTGGGCATCACTGGGAAGGACCTGGGCAGGGGGTCTGTTAAAGGGGAGCAGGTTGCTCGCATGGATGGGACATCCCGGGCAGGGGTGCAGCAAGGCTGAAGCGGAGGCAGTATGGGGGGTGCAGGTGCTGCAAGGGAAGGCAGAGGGTGAGGGTGAGGGTGAGGTGCTGCCCAACCTCCATCGCACGCAGCGGGGCTGGGAAGGCAACTTGCAAAGGTGTTTCCCCCATCTTCCCCCTTTGCTGCACCACAGCCTTGGCCAGGGGTGTCTTTTGAGCTACTGCAGACCAGACAGTGAAGGGATAGAGGCAGGCTCCATCCAGCACAGCCCCTTTCCAAGGGAGGGGGCCAACAAGCCCCACGCAGAGGTCCAGGCTCCCCAAAGTCCTCCACGCACACCCCACGGGCCCCGCACACCCCAGGGCTCGGCAGAGCCTGGCATGGGCGCACTCACCGCAGCAGCGCTGGGGCCAGCGGCCATCATGGTATGAAAGGGGAGCTCGGCCCCGCCACCTTCTCGCAGATCCAGAAGTGCAGGTCATCAGGACCGGCGCACTGGGCAGGTTTGATGTTCCCGCGGCTTATTATGGCACAGGACCCATTCGACTTCGACTGCCACGGCCTGGGTGGGGAAACGAGACATCAGGGGGCTGTCATCGCCCTGTCCACCGCTCA